TAATCCCAAAGCCAATTCCACATGCTTGAGATTTTAGTTATGGTACCTCCTCACTTTGGTACAAAATATATTCCTGTTATTACGGTTACTTACCAAATTACCCCAAAACTTACTGGCATAGAACAATCAGTCATTGTGTTCACAGAATTATGATAGGACAGAGCAGAGATGACTTGTTTCTGCTCCATGATTTCTTAGACATCGGAAGGAAAACTCAAAGTCTGGAAAATCAAGTCACCTGAAGGCTCCTAGGTCTTACCACTTGAGTAAGAGTTCCTCTTGGGCTGTTAGCTCGGACACCAACACATCACTCCCCTGTGCACCTTGACCATCCTCAAAACATGTCTCTTGGGTTCCAAAACAAGAGTCTTGAGAAACAGTAAGGTTTGGCAGAAGTCACATCACCGTTTATGAACTGGCTCTGGAAATCACTCAATGTCATCTCTGCCATACTTTATTGGTTAAATTACAAAAGCCCACCCAGTTTAAAGGTGAGAGAAAAAGACCTCGCCTATTGACGGAACAGTATGTGCATTATATTGTAAAAATAGTAGGTGTGATAGAATATACAGATATGGCCATGATGGAAAATACGATCTGCTACAGCAAGCTTGGAGATCTGTTTGATTAGAGATAATTTTACATCTACAGACTGTAGTTTATAAGCAGTCCCCAAATCACTGAATCACTGGCTGGATAAAAGACCTGAATCTGACCACTGTCTGGTCATCCAGAACAAGATTCTATCCCTTTGTATACCTCAGTATTAGTTCTTTATAAAGGAAATTATGATTATTTATAAAAGAGATTTCTTAAATAAATGATCTCTAAATTCTTTCCATGTCAAGTATTCTATAACTCATCTATTTTAAAAAGATGCACAAATATTTTCCACCAGCTGATATCTGTGTCATCTTTATTACATAGTTTTGCTTAAACATCAGTATTCTCATCTATGAAATGAGTATAATAGTGTTTACCCCTTAAGGTCATTATAAGAATGAAAAGATATATGTAGAAACACTTAAAACAAAGACTGAAATGAGGTAAGTACTCAGTATTGCTTATTTTTTTAATTTTCAGTCACATTTTGAGAACCATGCTCGTTTGACCACTTGGGAAGCATGTAATCCCCCCAAAAAAGGCAACTTTTGTATTAACCAAGATATGTATAACCTCAGCCTCAAATAAGTGTGAATATAAATTATTCTTTTCTGCTATTTTTAATAAGAAATATTTATTGGTACCACGCCTGGTGTTAAAGATTTACATGCATTTGATGCTTACATAAACCTTATAAGGTAGTTTTTAGAATTGAAAATTACTTCCTTTACCTACCCTGTGAAATGTTACTTTTTAGACTGTTATAAATTCTCTATATTTTTAATAATTTTCACTTTCCTGAACTACCAGATATACCAGGCAAAATGTTTAAGAGATACTGAGGGTTATTAATAGACATCATTAGTAATAAACCATAATGCTAATTTCATGTCCCAAATGCCTCTTATCTTGCTCCTTATTGAAAAGCATTCCTTCCACTGGCCCTCTTGGCCTCATGTCACCCCCACAGCATAGCCAAGAATTGGTTCCCCTTCTAAAAGAAGTGGATAATCTAAGGAGCAATATGAAAGCAAATGAGGGTCTCTACAATAAAACTTTCCTAAAAAGAGAAGTATACCGAAAAGTCTCCTAATCATATGATATCTTTGTTCCAATCCTTATCTTTTGAATAACCAAGTTATTCCTTAAATTATATGATGGTTTTAAAAATTAAACAGGTTTCTTACCTCGGGACTTTTCAGAGCTAATATTTGAGAAAACCCAAGGAGGGTCTGTGAAGCATTTCCCATACAGATTTAATGTTGACACACTTTTTTCTTTGCTGTTGGACTAGCGTTCCCTGGAATACAATCCGGGGACCACCGAGATGCATTTATCAGTAATTTGCATAATGGTGTCAGCTAATCAGATGGAGAAATGGTAGTCTTGACTTGGAAAGAGAGAAGAATGAAGACACGTCCAGGGTAGACCATCCTGAAGGAGTGGCGCAATGAAGCACTCGAGACTTCAGTATCAGCAGGAGGACAAGAAAGCCCACAAACCAGGAACAGGAAGAAGGAAACTCCCCCAAATAAGTTCATCTCACTTCACATCATTTTCTTCAAGCCTCCAAACTTCTGCAGGCCATTTGATTCATTCAAGATATGAACACTAAGGCACCCGATCCAGGGACTTCCTGCAGGCCGGTCCTGACTAATCTTTGTACTCCAGAGTATGGATGATCATTGATGAAATGTGGGGCAGAAACTAATTCAGGAATGGCAAATAGGTTTCACCCCAGCTTGTCAATGCTGATCGATCATAGTAGCTTTCATCCTTTTTTGTTAATAATAATTTTTCTTAAATTTGTGAAACCTTGCATCTTCTTTGTGATATGAAGGGAAATGAAACCACTGTAAATCATTTAGTTTTATAATAATAGTGACCATAAAGCTTTGTCTATACACATTGTATTATTCCTTTTGGAATAAAATAACATTTTATTTGTGAAGTTTTGAATTAGATACCACCTCTTACTGACATAGAAGTCCATACTTTTCAAGGGAATAGCCTTTGTCACTATTTAAAGCACTTATTCACATAAGTATAATATATGTTATCCATCTTTGACATCTCAAAATGTTCCACTTAATTTTACTTGATTAAAACTGTAATTTTTTTAGCCTTGCTCAGCTTTCCACAATTGATCTTGTCATATAAGCCAGTGAGTCCAAATAACAGAGAGAAAAAGAGAAATTTTTCAAGTGTTTTTAAATTCAAAAAATTATATGAAACTTCCTTTTGATAGATCATTTTTATAGTAAAATGCACTTAATGATATGTCTACTATACTTGCTTTTAGGCAAATTTTGTAGAGAATTGGGCCCTCAAATTTGTCAGGTACAGTGTTTTAACAGTCTAATCATGAAGGATGCTTACATGCCAGATAAAAATGTTCTTCACTCACATTAGAAGACTTGGACATTTTTGTGTATGTGATATTCTCCAGCACCTATTGGATGAGCTTTTTAAAAATACATGTTGCTTCCCCAAATGTTGAAAATCTGTGATTAGTCACACCACTAACTTCTAGATTTACTCATTAGTTTATTCAGCACATATTTCTAGAATACCTGCTCCGAGCCAAAAAATTGGACAGAGAATTGAAGAAAAATACTTTCATTGATTGCATTCATTCATTCATTCATTCATTCAACAAATCTTTATGAGCTAGGCTTTATGCTATGGATATAATGATGAATAAGACAAGATACTGTCTGGGGAGACAGGCAATCAAATAATCACAACCATGTATCCCAAAGATGAGAGAAAGTTTAAGAAACCAAAGCCAAGAGTTTGTGACTTGACCAGGGCATTCAATTAGGGGGTAAATCAGTTTCTAGGGCATGGGGCACCCCGTCCACCCATCCTGTTCAGAGGTAATAATAGATAATGGCTCCCACTTCCTGCCCTCTCATTGAGTGCCAGGTCGTCTTCATAGATGATGATTCCATTTCATTCTGATAGTGTTCCAAAATTATTTGGAAAGAGAATCTTCAGACGCCTTCCAAAACCTCCTGGTTTTAATCTTTTGGCTCTTCCCTTTTTCTTTCCACCCCTGCCCAGCACACATGCAGATCTCTGAGAACAAATCTATTCTTCTCCCACAAGCTTGGAGATAGGTGCCTTGGAGGTTTTCAGCCCCATGGCTCAGGTCCCTACCCAGGTAACATGTAAAGCAATAATATACTCCACAATTATCACCAGAACTCTGGTTTCCAAGCCTGGCTAAATACCAGAACCACCTACTAAGGGTGCCTTGAAAACAAAAATTTCCCAGAAAAGCATGATCTAGGATAGCGTTCCCAAACTCCAGTCTCCAGTCCAGGATCATCAGGATCATCTAAGAACTTGTGAGAAAGACAGAAACTTGAGCCCCATCCCAGACCTGCTGAATCAAAAAGTCTGGGGGTACAAAGATACCCAGTGATCTATGTACTAAGTGAGTCTAAGGCACTAACCTTTGATCTTGAACTTATGGGGTGGGTGCCTGGAATTTTTTTTAAGTACTTAGGTAATTTGGAAGATTAAGAAGATTGGAAACCAAAAGGAACATGACTCATTACAGCTCAAAACACCATTTGGAATGCCACAGGGAGGTAAGGTAAGTACTGGAGAAAACCAAAACATTGGGGGGAAAAAACCCTTGGGAATTAATAAAGGTAAAGGTAAAGAAATTCGGCAGAGGATTCACAAACTAAAGAGGGCTGTTATTAATTGCAGTACATTCAAAATTACACTAAAAGATTTTTTAAACATTTATTTTGCAAAATAATTCCATTTTGAGACCTAGAGACTTAATCTTCTTAAGTTATTAACTCTGACGTCATGATTTTTAAAGGAAAATAATTTAAAAATATGTGCCTGAAAGAGGTAAAATAGCCCTTTTCCTAGAGTTCTTGACCTTGAATAAAATGTGTGGTATTTTTTCTTTTCTTTTTTTTTTAAGATTTTATTTATGAAAGAAAAAAAAATTTTATTTATGTATTCATGAGAGAGAGAGAGAGAGGCAGAGACATAGGGAGAGGGAGAAGCAGGCTCTATGCAGGGAGCCGGATGTGGGACTCGATCCCGGACACGTCCCGAGCCAAAGGCAGAGGCTCAACTGCTGAGCCACCCAAGCATCCTAGTATTTTTTTCCTGTTAGTTTTTCTACTTATATTTAATGTAACTTTAAATTATTATTATGGGGGCAGGTAGGTGGCACAGTTGGTTAAATGTCCAACTCTTGATTTGGGCTGTGAAATCAAGATGGCCCAGTGTGGAGCCTCCTTAGATTCTTCTCTCTCCCCTATCCTATGTCCTTTAAGTTCTTTAATGATTGAAAATTAATAAGAAAGAAAAAAAGAAAATTAATAAGAAAGAGTAAGATCTAGGAAGAACATCACTCTCTTGATTGTAGGCTGCATATAGTACAGGTAAAAAATAAAATCCTTGATAGGTAAGACTTTTCACTTCTTAGTGAATGCAAAGTAAAGGACCCACAGATGCACCATAATAGGATATACTTTTGGAATGCAACAGGTAATTATTAAATCCCAGATCTGTAGAGACCCTGGTCAATGACATGGTCACTTTGAGTCTTTCATGAGATTCATTCCATGTGTCTTGACTGTGCCAAGTACTTTACACGCATAATTGTCCTTTAAAAAAAAAAAACATTGTGAGTGTGGGACCACTAGAATCCCCACTCAGATGAGAGAACAAGCTTAGATAGGTTAAGGCACATGGCTGACTCAGTTGACCCCAAGCAACCTGTCTCCAGTCCTCTCCCTGTCACTCTCCTGCCTCCCTCTTGTCTACCATGGTACTACCAGAAACAACATGGTACCAGGAGCACTCAGGCAATGTGGGACTGTTTTGTTTGTTCGCTGTGCACACAGCTTTTGCCTGGACTGGCTTAAGGCTTTCAGAGCCCCTTAGAACTCTGACATATATCAAATTTTGAAAAACTGACATGTATCAAATTTTAAAACTATGCTCAACTGTAAAGTAAGCCTACAAATGTTGAACAAAGTTATTTTTCTCACAGTGACTACACAGATGCTTTGTTAAAAGATCAAATGTAAAAACTCTTTAAAATAAATGTTTATTGCTCTGGCTTCACTTGGCATACTAAAAACACATATGGCACAACCCAGGGCTGGCCTATTTCAACCTGATTCACTGAAGATGGGGGTGGGATGAGGAGGAGAGGCAGTGGTTCTTTCTAGACATTTTCCCTACTCAGGGTTAGGGGAAGTACGGCTGGGAGGAGCAGAAAAGAAGCTGCCTTCCACCTGACCTCTGCATACACTCATCACTAGAAAGCTGCAAGAGAGGGTCTGTGTAAGAGGCTACTCTCCTGGGGGTTGAATATGCTGGTGCCAATCCAGGTTTAGCCACCTTAGGCAAAAAAGATCTTGGCACCCCCGCCCCCATCCCCAGAACATTTACTTAAGCATGGAAGCATGGGTAACTGCAGTTCTCATGCGTGTGCAGGAACCCCTGTTGGCAGAAGCCCAAGCCAAGGCTCCAGAGCTGTGTATATAAAGCAGGCGGCTACTGTCATTAAGATATGCCAAGAAGAAGAAATCAGGCTTTTGCAATAAACCACATAAAACAAGCTGTGCTCGGCTCTTGGGCTTTGCTGTCTCTGGAAAATGGAAAATTCTTCATCCCAGACCAGTTCTCACTGATTTGGAGACTCTCAGCACTTTGCCTGACCAACTCGCCTTCTAGAACGCGAGTTCTTAAATGCCACGGATCCCTGGGCTCCATCATGAACTCCTCACCTTGTTCTGAAGCTTCCATATGAGACATCTTTTGTGACAAGTGTGGGGAAAATGTAGCAAGAGTTAAAAGTGAATCTCTTACCTCTTTGAACTGTTTTCTTCGTACTTCGTGTACACAGATACACTTTTGATGTGTTAACTAGAAAATCTGACTAGAAAAGAACAAAGCAGCTGTCACTGGAAGGAAGACACTGACAAAAAAACCACACAGTCCTTTATTGAAGAACTGTCAAGCCCATCTACAGTGCTGGGGTTGTCTGTGGTATTTATCAGAGACCTAGATCTGATGCAGGAAATTAAAAATAATAATAATAATAAGTCTGTCCACTGGACATTTATGAAAGGGATCTAAAATTATATTACATTTAAAATAACAAAAATGGGTATTTTAACAATTCAGATACAATATTGTTTTTACTAGTTATATATATATTTGTATATGCATGTGCATGCTTTCCTAATAGCAAAAATATCCATGTATATAAAGACAAGAAAGGGATACAATGTAGATAAAACACCTACATAAAGATTAAAAGCATATACATTTTTTTCTCACTGTGACAGGAATCTTTTAATGCATTTAAATATTTTTTCCTCAATGTAACTTTCATTTTACTATTACATATGAAATCGAATCCTTTAAATATTTCTGAAATTAGCTTAAACAAGATCCTTCCAGGCAAATGGATCTCTTTATTTCGTGTTTCTCTACTGACTCGCAAGATTTTCCTGAACATGATTCCCGGCTTTAAGGTAATATTCATGCTGTGCTATTTGTTACATATTTGTTTTAAAATTATGTGTTCTAAAAAAAAAATACGTGTTCTATGTGATATTTGGGCTCATTTCTAACTATTGGACTGCACAGAATTTAATAACCTTTTTCTAAGCAAATAACACTGTATGTAAAGTGGGGGGGGTGTTTGTTTGTTTACATAATCCCAATAGCATGAACATGAGGAGAAAAGAAATCTGTTTAAGACTGCACAGGAAAAAAATGCTAAACATAACTGGAAATAGTCCGCAGTCAGGTGAATGTGTCTCCTTGTATTTTTAGGTCATGGTGCTGTTAAGATAGGCTTCGAGGCTTCAAATCTTAGCTGTATCACTTAAGAGCTATACTGCCAAACACAGGTTAGTTAACTTTCCTAAGCCTCAGTTTCTTCATCTGTAAAAGAGGAAAGTATCCACCTCACAAGGGTTGTTTAGATGGGAAAAAAAGAGGGATCCATAGCTAAGTGCTGTATTGAGCAATTCATTCAATTCATTCTACACTGAACCATGTAAAACTGATTGCAGAACAGAACGCAGAGCTTCTCAGAGCCTTTCATATACACTGATGAATTTTTAAATCACAAATATAACTCAATATTTGGGATTCCACAGAATCATTTGACCTGGAAGGAACCCTTGTATGATGAGTATTTCTGGAGATCAGTGTTTCTCAGAAGAGAGTCTGAAAGGGCGATGGGGAGGACTTCAAGGAGCATCTTAAGGCAATAGAAATCTTTCTACAGGACTTCTGGGGCTTATATGCATAAAGACTCTGTTTCAAGACCTGGAGAACTATCTGCAAATCAAAATCACTCTTGCTTTAGTTGCAAAGTGCCTCTTGTGGCCTGAGTTGACAAGTGCAGTTTCCGGAGTCCATTGAGAAGAAACTCTCCACAAAACAAACTATTAACTAAACAAATTGCCAGGGTTTTTTTTTTTTTTTTTAATTAAGAATTTGAAATTCCCTTCTAAGTGACTTATATGTATTTTTGTATTTAAACATCTATCATATGGCAGCGTGGACCAAGCAAGTGCCTAAATTTAGATAAGACAACTACTGGTTGGGAGTCTGATGGACAGTGGGATGAGTTTTTACAGGTTTTCCATCCGAAATGAACCAAAAGGAAGATTCGCAGGCAGGGGGTGTGTATACCCTGAGTCCATGATCTCTCATTTATTTTCAAAATACCATGGAACAAGGGCTTTATCAGTCTCTCTAATTTAACTTTTCAATCAATTGAAGGCAGGACAAATTGATGATTAATTTCTCTCCCTTTTGAAAATTCTGTCCTCTGAAAATTCCAACATTTTAAAAGGATCTGATAAATAATACCAAGTTCATTGGCATTTCAAACAGACAAGACACTTATCTATTTTAAACCATTATGAATGTCATATTTCCATTCAAACTTGGGAAGATCACATTTTCAGCTACCAACCAACTATGGAAAAATCTTTCAGGCAACAATAACCTCTTAATTGAAGATTTCTCTTAAAATTATTTTTATAGAATAATGTGGGTGTTATCCTCCTGAAAAACAAAATTACTTTTAATGAAGCAGTTCAAAATCAGGGCAGGGAAAGAGCAAAGAGTTTCCTTGAGGTTCTGGTGACAGTTTACATAAAAAGATGTTTTATTTTCTCTTTGCAGGGTGTACACCATCATTTTGTCTTATTATTCCTGACATTCAGTTCATCATATTAGCATCTTTGTGGGAAACAAGAAAGCAATTAAGGTTTTTGCTCTTTATTCTTCAGGAGACAGAGATTTTGCTTTCCCTCAAAACTCTTAATGATGAGGCAGCCCTGGTCAAACACCAAATGCACAGATTTTAAAATGCAATAAAGATAGAGCTTTAATAATTTTCAATTACAGTTATTCTGCAATAATGTTAGCGAATCTCATCTAAAAAGTAAATTATTCATTGAATAGGAAATGGGAAAGCTTTGGGATTGTGTGACTCTCCCATTTAAAGTTTCACTAAGATTCTCCTTGATAAGGTTCTTTTAAAAGATTACATATTTTATACTTTGTTTCTATCCCTTTTCTTCATTCAGGATGCTGTTTCTACTTTTTAATATACTTTTCTAACAAAACACGGTAGTTATAGAGTGGCCTTTCAGAGGGATCTATTCAGAATAAGTATTCATTCACTTGCTGCCAGAAATACTGATAATATGATATTTTTTTATTTCGTTTTAAGAATACATTTTTCATTTTAAGCAAATGAAACTTATAACCAAATTAAAAAAAAAAACCTGTCATTGGTTTTCATTAGAAAATTGGCAGGAAAAAATCCTGCATGTTGTCTTTGCGTTAGAAAAGCTTGCTTTTCATGTAAATAAATAGATCATTTATTGGAAAGTGCAGAGAATACAGCAAAACTATAGAATCCCAGAAAATATTTTAAATCAAAGTATGACACAATGAAAAAAAAGGTAATGCAGACAATTTCCTTTAAAAAAGAGAAGTGTCGCCCTGCTCACAGAACTTGAAACCAAGTCATTCACTTAAGCCATTTTCTCTATTTCTTGTATAGTAATTTCCAATATTTGTGCTCAGATAAATGTCAGCATTTTTATCATCGGTCTCCTCACTCTCCTTTCTCTTGCCACAGATTTGGTTACTTTTAATTTTTCTACCTTCAGACTGAAAATGTCACAACTTTAACTTCATGATGAGGTGTGGGCAAAACTCTTGCAGTGAAATTCATGACTGGAAGACTTTGCATTCAGAATTCTAGAACATATTCCAAACTTCCAAGGGACTTATGAGCAGCATTCTTGAGCTCGATAATACATGAATCTGAACTTTTCATTCACTGAATATCACCAGTTTATCTCACAAACCCAAGCCAGTGTGTTTGAGATGACAACGCTATGGGATATTTGAAGGCACTTGTCAGATATTAGTGGTTTCAGCTAAATGTTATTTTAAGTTGGTGGGTCTTTTTTGTTTGTTTCAAATCTTGTTTAAGGAAAGCATTTGTTTATCCACTTCAATGGGAAACTCCATTATGGTGAGATTAAGTGAATTATTTCTAGTTGTCCCAGGCTGGAATGAGAAATCCCTTATTTATAACTGCCTCCATCTATTAATTTCACTCATTCCATTTTATAAAGTGCATTAGGTTCATTATAATGGCAAATACTTTAATGACACAATGAAAGAAATGGAATCCACATTTTGCCTTACTCAGCATCCCTCAGCACTACCTCTCTAGACAAGATAGGGATGCTTGAACTTCACTAGCTTAATTTAATTTATATGCTTAATAATACATATTTAAGTATGTATTAATACATAAGTATCAAAAAGGGATCTTTTTCATCAAATTATTCATGAAGAATCTTTGTAACATTAATTTTTGTTTTACAACTCTTTTTGAAAAGCTCTTTGCTGAAGATATCTGGATAGACCTAAGACAGCAATTATACGTATGGTCCTTAAGGTCCAAGAGACATGGGTTCAAATTCTGCCTTGACATATTACCAGCAAGCTTTAACCTATCATCTCTAGACCTTTGTGTCCTTTTCTTTTTTTTTAGAAATGGGGAGACAATAATAGTAGCTACTTCATGGGTTATTGAGATGATTAAAGGAGGCAAACACGTATGAGGTACTCACACCAGCACCCAGCATAGAGCAAGCACTCAATGTGCATGAGCTAATGAATAGTGAATTATTATAATGAATAATCAGAAGTAATAGGCATCTTTTGCAATCTTGTCAAAGTCTACCTGGGCCAATTGAAATAATGACCTGATGTAAATTTAGTCTCCTTCAAATCCAGTGCTATATATCTTATTCCATAATTTTCTGTATGATCTGCAATGGTCTTGTTTTTTTACTGTTTTCTCTCTCCTGATTCTGAGGGAAATATTGGCACAAATTTCTCTGATATGATAAAATTATCATTAGTAACTATAAAAAAGTGCTCAGCAAAAATAGGAAAATAAAGCATGACCTAAAAGATTGGACAATACCAACCCTTAAGGAAGCTGTATCTTAAACAGAACTTGCATTGTGATTTTAAACCTTCACTGGAAAAAAAAACCTTCACTGGAATAATTAATATCTTTGCATACAGTGATACTTTGAACTCCATATTATGCTTGAATCACTCTGGAACATGTTTTACCATAGAAATTCAGTGTTCCTCATCTCCACTTGGCCTTTGTCGGAGATGTTTCCTTAAAACTCTCCTCCTAATGTCCTGATTTCTCAAAGATTCTACTTTTCCCTGAACCTGCTGTTTGGTCCAGAGATATGAATGAGCACAGACTAAACAGGACCAGCAAGAAGCACAAAAATATAAGCACTATTTGCGAAACTATATGACCTCTACCCACTTTAGTTCAAATGAATATCCTCAATACAGTAAATAGAAAAGTTACCAAAAATGCCTTTGAGTCCTGTGTTTTGATGTCCTTTGCCTAAACAACTTATGTATGATTTCTTCCCCTCTAATTTTTATCTATAGTTTATTTACAAAGAGATTTTGGTGGAGAAAAAAAAAATTGCCCAATATGTTCTACCTGAGGCCAAAAGGAACATTAGCTAAGAATACAGGAGCTAGTTTTCTTATCAATTCCTCCTGAGAGCCCATTAAAGCAAGAAACACAGGGTAATGCACTCGCTGTAATGTAATGTAAACTAAGGTTCAGTTTTAAATATTCTTATTATGAACACACACAAGTAGACCAACACACACCAGAGATTTAGGCTCACCTGGTTTATAGGCTACTCAAGGTTCAATCTCCCATCTCAAATGCCCCTCTGGTGGGCATAAAACAGAGATGAATGAATGGGCACCTCCAAATTGATCCACTTGTCAATTCCAACCTCATCAGGGGGGCTTGTTGTCTTAGCTCAGGTTGCTGTAACAAAATGCCATACATTGAGTGGCTTAAACAACACACATTTATTTCTTACAGTTCTAGAATCTGTAAGTCCACTATCAACATACTAGGAGATTCAGTTTCTGGTAAGGATCCTCTTCCTGGCTTGCCTTCCTACTACGTGCTCACAAGGCAAAAAAAGAGAAATCTCTGGACCCTGAGGACATTAATCCCATTATCGGGGCTCCACCCTCACCACCACACCTAAACATAATTCCCTTCCAAAGGCCTCACCTCCAAACACCATTACATTGGGGGTTAGCACTTCAATATATGAATTTGAGGGAATACAAACACTCAGCCCATAACACCTGTTTCAGTGTATCAGTGTGCCATATCTGACTTTCAAAATCCTAGCAGGGGATAAACTTGTACACGTCACATTTTATTTATGAATGTGCTAGATCCGATCCCTTTAGGCCAGGTCTCCCTTCGTTATTTGAATCAGTAGTGGAGTGAAATGTAAATATAGATGTGTTCAGATAAATAGGTAGTGAGATTTGATTATCTACATTTTCAAAAGCCACTCAACTTTGCCTCTGTCTATATGCAGATTTCATATAATTATAAATTTGGTTTGTGTGCAGTTACGTGAATATAACCTGGCTTATTATCTACTCTGGCTTTTAAGAACTATGTGCATGATCAAAATATCAACAGCCTAATAAATGGAAGAATTGATTTCAGGAAAACAAGAAAACAAGAGCTTTATGTCATAGCATTATCACAGCTAATTAATGCTTTCATGGTTCTTAAATTCCTATTTTATCATTAATTATGGTGTGGTAAAACTTCATAATTAAAGTAACTATACCATATGCTGTTATATGTGTCCATTTTGTTCTAAAAAGAGACATATATGTCCTTTCATATGCTTTATTCTCAGCCATCTGTGAAAACTAATCCTGTGGCAAACACGGACCAGCAGTTCCTCGATTTGATGTTATAAAGCGTTAAAATACTTGGAATCCCACATCCAGCTATGTTCGATTGCTGTTACTTCTTGCTCCTAGAAGGCACTCAATACTCCAGAGTAGGTGCATGTGAGTTTTGGCATCAATGAGAAAGGAGTTTTACTGACTACAGTAGGGTTCTCAAGAGATTAGAAACAAATCAAGTCCACTATCAAAGTAGGTGCCATTATATTTAAAGTCTGTCTTTTGAAAGAGTATATAACTGGACTGATTGATTCATTCATTCATTCATTTTTTAACAGGATTTTTTTTAAAGATTTTATTTATTTATTTATGAAAGACACAGAGAGAGAGAGAGAGGCAGAGACACAGGCAGAGGGAGCCCGACGTGGGACTCGATCCCAGGTCTCCAGGATCACACCCTGGGCTGATGGTGGTGCTAAACCGCTGAGCCACCCGGGCTGTCCATAAGTGAGATTTTTTTTTTAAACCAATATAAATATCAAACTGTCACGTGGCAAATTTATTCATTTATATTTACTGTGGTTATTAAAATGTTTGGATTAATTTTGCAAATAGTAACCTCTTTGCCATGTCTTCCCTTTGCTTTTCTCATGCTCCTCCCCAACCAAAAAAAAAAAAAAAATCTTTTTAAACTTAAGCTTTTACCATGCTTTCTTAACAATGTATAGAAATATTTTATGTGTACCCAAGAGCACTTGAACTCTGGTCAGTCATGTTCTCTGGAATATTGGAATATTAGAATATTGCAACTCTGCTTGGTTTTTTACCCTCTACCATATTAGCCTTTTCTCACATATCAATATCCTTTCAGGTTGACTCACATAATTTCCAACATCTTCCAGTGCTTCTTCCATCCCTCCTGGGCTTCTGTGTCCCTCTTCTTAAAGCCCATCCTTCTGTGATTATTTTAGCAAGCTTCTGTGAGAGAAGATGCTCCTGAAGAGTAGATTAGCCAGGTGCCTAACTGTAGGCTGATAGTTCCTTCTCTCTGCCTGTTGCAGATTCTTGTCTTCCCACACCTGCTACGACTCATGAGAATTCTATCTTAGTGGAATTACTACTCCTTTGGAGGAAACCTATCTTTTCTTTCTAGTTGTGATTTCTTTAGGTCTCTCTTCTCTCTCTCTCTCTCTCTCTCTCTCTCTCTCTCTCTGTCTCTCTCTCTCCCCCCTTCTCTTCCCCATATATCTAACCTATTTGACTTATTCACTGAGGTTTAATTTTATAACCATGTTTTTTTTATTTCTGTAACTCCTGGTTTTGAATTCAAAATGGTCTGTTCTTTCATTGAGTCTCTTCCTCCTCACACATGAAATCTTTAATCAATTTAAACCTACTTAAATAATACCATTTTATAACCTCAAGTTCATTTTCGCATCAATCCCTCTGTTCGTAGACTCAGCTGATTCTCCCTAATAACGGATCCTTTCCCTGTGTGATTTTTTATTTTTTATTGTGAACACATATTTAGCTGAGATTATTTTTCTGTAGAAGTTCTATGTACCAGGAGTTATGGAAACAACCCCATGGTACTCCTTTTTGGTGTGATAAGTGGTCTACACTGTGTATTAAGCTCCCACATCAATGTTAAGAGTTCAGTCTCATGTCTTTAAAGATAATAAATAGAACTGCTATTTTGCTAACCATTCTGGACATGATTTCTTCTGTTTACAAGTCCCTGATACCTGAATATTTCCCTTTCTTTCCTTTTAACTCAGCTATTAATTGTTTTTAAAAATTGTTTTTATCATGTAGTCTACCTCACCCATCCACGTGTTTTCATGGGGTCACAAAATATCCTCATTAACTCTGTTCTATGTATTAGAAAGCTAGAAGTCTCCCTCCCCGGCCTCTGCCACACACACACACACACACACACACACACACACACCATATCATTATGTAAAGGTCTAAGATCAATATAACAACACACTATTCTTGGTGAAAAATCATCATTTATCAAAGGGGTTAAACCAAGGGACATTACTTTGATCGAATAAGGAGCAGAGTCCTTCAGGAAAGCCAAGATCATTGTGAGAAAATGGCTTCAGAAGTTTAGAAGGTTACTAATTTCTTATGTTCAAGGAGAGGTCTCCTGCCACACCCAGGAGCTTTTCTCTCAACTATCCAGGTAGGATGCATTTCTCCAGGTGCCTGCTAAGCTCACAAAGTTTCTCCTTTCCCTGAGAGCTGCTTTTCACCACCTCTTTTCCAGCTCCACAATAATGGGTCCTCTAGCAGCCATATCTTACTAAACCAAGGTGGGCCAATCTGATTCTCTCTTCAGGGAATTAAGAACTGAGACTGAGAGAGCTGAGTTAGTCTTTTCATGTGACTCAATCTAAAATAACTAAACAAGGGTGGTTTAGATACAGTACCATGTAGCTCTCACTTTCACTATAGGGCCAGACACAGTTACAGATACCTATTTGTTGGTCCATCTCCTTCATAAACTATGAGCCCCTTGAAAACAGAAATGGTGCTTTTCATTATAGTATCTCTAATAACTTTCAAAATTGCTATCACTTAGTGGCTATTCAATGCATAGCTGTTGAGTGAATAACTACATGAAAAAATAAGTATGAGGATCTGTCTAGAAATAGGGGAGAGGAAAGAATAAGTGATTACCTCCATTTAGGAAGGGTTTGGTAGGCTTCTCAAAGACAATATAGGATAAGAACACTGGTTTTAGAGCCAGAGATCCCTGAGTTCAAGGGCTAGTTCCAACATTCATTGGCTGTGTGACCTTTTCTTCGTCTGTAATATGGGGATGTTCTTGATGAAACTATTGTGAACATTAAGTATGGGGAAGAACCCAAGAGGACACACACAATCCTGCTAATTAGAATCTGCATTTCAGGGAAAGACAAGAGGAATAGAAGCTGTAGGGCATAAAAGATCAAGCTCTTCTCCTGTACGTCATCCCATTATCATTTATAAGTGGACAAGGGGGGAATGGGAATGCAGCTTTAAGCACCTCTGGATCTGCTGTTGGCCCACTTTAGCAGGGAGAATTCAAGGATTCATTGTAACTAGATAAAAGCAGGCTCATGCAGCTGGGACCTCAGGGCAATGACTATATAAGAGAAAAGGGGAACTGTGAGAATGGCAATGAATCCAGTCTAGGTGAATGACTAAAAGCACTAATTTACTTTGATGATGCAGGAGGACTTGTGTCAATATCGAGTGTTTAGTAGTGGGACCTCTTCAAGGTTTCAATAGCAGGTGTCTCAATAAGTGACTCTCCGACAAGTCTCTGTTTGATAGAAGGGTGGCTCTGGGTGACCCAGTTCAGAGTAGCCACAGGAGTATAAGGATAAGATCTTACCCCCAGAGAGACAGAGGCTAGAAAACTCTAGATCATGTGTCATCGATGGAGGAAATAATGTTCCAAGGGGGCAAAAATTGGTTCTCATGGATTTGAAGATCTTAGGTACCATAATTGTTTGTGACCCTGCAAATGGCCTCAGAATATAAGCAGATATACAATATATCTGTGGTATTAAAATACGGTAACAAGGGAGGAATAACAATTAGGAAAAACATGCCCACAAAAGACTTCTTAGGCATGTGATGATCAAAAAAAAAAAAAAAAAAAGAGTAGAGAAACACTGGCATAGGTAAACTATGCCAGACTTGATACTGGCTGAGCCCGTCTGTAGCATTGACATTGTCTCTATAAACTTGGCTTTTCACATTCACCACTCCAAAAGTTCCTTCCCTCTCGCTCCTATGCCTGCAATTTTACTGAGCTGCCACTAGGGTGCTTTGGTCCTATTAAAGCCATGTAGTTTGAATGGTCAGGCAGTGATTAACAGAGTGAGGGATTAGCATATTTTTTTAAATTCTTTATGTATATCTATACTTTTTTCTAAATGAAAAAGAGCTCTTAATTAGAACAGTCTAACATAACCAGCGTTAGTAAACATTAAAGTTTAAAAAACAAGAGGAAAACACATTTAAATCTAAAATGGTACCTCTGACTGATTTTAGACTAGTGCTAATTACCATATAAATTAAAGTTAAGGATAAATATAATTG